CCTGTTCTATTTGGTTCGCACTTGAAGTCTCAGGCATTCTCTATTGCAAAGATCTATATCGTTTGCTTTTCGACCGGGAATCGAAAGTCCGCTTTAAAATTTCTCTTCCTCTCGAGTTTTCTAGTAGATTTTACGTTCCATTGGCCCCGAATTCAACGGATCTGATCCAGATTTTGAATCTTCTGTTTTTGGTTTGACGATCGTGTCTTTGAATCGTCATTACTGTCAACAAACAGCTACAACATATATATATATATATATATATATTCGGTTGTTCATTCTCTACGATTTCATTATTGCGTTTGGATTGAATTAAGAAAGACAAGGTTGAACGAGTTTAAGGTTGAAGATGGATTCCTTAGCTGCGGTCAGCGAAGAGATAGCTGAGATCGAGGGACAAATAGCCGACATTTTTCGAGCTTTATTGTAAGGCTTTTTAATTTCTGATCTTTTTTAGATGTTTTATGCTGTGACAAACAATGTAGGTAACAATCAAACTGTTCTATGTAAGATTTGTTATCATTTATGATTACATGCTTACTATCGTACATTTCTGGTTTCTACATTGATCAAAATGTTACTCTGTTTCCATTGCAGGAATGGATTTCAAAAACTGGATAAGATTAAGGATGTTAATCGGCAGAGTAGGCAATTGGAAGAGCTTACCGGCAAGATGCGAGTGTAAGAGGTCTTTTAGATTCATCCTTCCTTGAGTTCTATGTTTTTTGTTTTCGTGATTGATTGCATTTGAATCATATAATACTTCAGTTTTAATAAGCTGGAATTGTGATACTTTGTTATAAAGAAAAATTCAACTCGAAAACATCTTGTTCTTGCACTGAAAACTCTTCACTAAGAATTTGAGGTTGTAAGAAATTGTTTTTGCGAGAGTTCCGTATAAGTATTTACCATTTACCATTTACCATTTCCTATTTCCTATTTCCTATTTCCTATTAAATTACCCCTGAATATATTCTGCTATGGTTTGGTTTGACGCAAAATAGTATCTACTTATCTTTTCAGGCTCATCAAAGAGTTTGATAGAGAAGTAAAGGCAATGGAGAGAAGAACTGATGTAGACACCCAAAGAATGCTAAGTGAAAAGAAGCAGTCAATGATGCTTTGTAACTTTAAGTTTTATTTATTTTTTGTTGTTCTTAGTTAAATCCTCCAGCTTGTTGGTTGAGTTTCTTGTGTTTGAAGTTTTCTCGATCTTATGGGATACGTATGCAGGTCAAGGAACTGAATTCATAAGCTTTCCTTAAGAAACAGGAAGTCTGTATCAATATTAGAAGTTATCCATTTTTTCTTGTGTCAAGAATCAAGATGAGATTAATTCATGCATGTTCGTGCTCTAACTAGTTATAAATAATTTATGATGGTTATGGATTTAGTTACCTATTTTTTAGAGTTATGATCCCACATCCCATCACCTTCTAAATTCTCTGTTCTTTTTCTTTCAACCTTTTTTTTATCTTCCATGTGATCTTGTGCCAGTAAGTTAATGTTATTTGATTGAAAATTGGTAATTCATCAAGATCATGGCGGCAGATATTATGCAATAATAATATTGTTGGTATTTGATTTGTAATTTGGCTTCATTTCACATTTTTGCAGCCATCAAAGCAAACTTGGGAATAACAAACGAGTTGATCTCTTTGATGGGCTGAATGAAGGCTTTACTGAAGATAATGCCTTGCTCGCTTCATGTAAGTCTATCGGCTTCTTTTGATATAATTATTTCAGCTGATCTTTTATGTGGATGTTGGAGATGAAATTTTGTGTATAAACAGTGACATAGGTAGACATAGTTCTTTCCTAATCAGTGTTTTCTTATGGCTCATCGATATACAAAGATGCAGAACCCACTTGCACAAATTGGTCTCTTTTGCTTTTTACTTTTAAGTGCCGCCATAACAACTCTAAGTAGTTTGGTTGTAAGATCTGCGAGTTATTTTGCGGTATTTCTAGACTATGTGTTGTCTAGCACACTCAATATGAGAGGGGATGAGAAGCTTAACAAAGAAACCTCTGATAACTCGAATCTACATTACCTTGCACCTTATAAAAAAGTCTGTTTCTAGTTGTGTTTTCTGGAAGTATACACTTTGCTAACTTCTACAGAGTTGATCAGGATCTACATTACATTGATTATTGGGATAATGTTGAATGTTGACCAGAAAAATGTTCAAGTATCATATTTTGCTTCAATTTTAAACTGTTGAGACAGAGCCTGTATGTACTGCAGCTATGACAAACGAACAGCTAATGGATAGAGGAAACCAGATGATGGATGAGACTGATCAAGCCATTGATAGGGCTAAGAAGGTTGGTGTCCAATCTTCCGCTGCATAAGAATTTGTAACATATACTGCATCTTCATCTACCGCTAAGTAATTGGATTTATTTAGAGCCATGGTTTTTGACATTGCCTTTTTATGTTCAAACCAACAAAAGGTAAGAGATTGTTTATAGGTCTGTCATAATTTTTGCATGAACATTTTTTTATGATATTGGTTGTTCAAGAAACTGTTGATGTTGGAACAGAGACTGCCACGGCTCTCAAGGCTCAGGTAAATAACTTCAACTCAAAGTATTAAGAATCATCCATCAAGAGTTTCATGGCATTTTTCTATATCTTAGGTTCATTAAACTGTTTTACTCTTTGGTTGTATTAACCGATTTGAGAAATTACTTCGACATTCGAACTAAGATACGTTATTTGTTTCGTATTTTGGACTGAACAAATGAGCAGGATAGTTAATGAGCTGGATTCTATCCATTTTTCTATCCAGAAGGCATCTAAATTAGTAAAAGAAATTGGTAGGCATGTCAATCTGTGAAGCATTCACTTCCATTCGTTTATGCTCTCTACCATTAAAGTGCATTTTCTAATGTATTACCTTTCTGTATACAGGTTGCTACTGATAAGTGCATTGTGTCACTCTTATTTCTCATAGTGGCCGGTGTTATAGCCATCATAATCGTGAAAGTACTGTATTTCTCAACCTCGAACCAACATTGAATCACTGAACTGAATAAAGTTTATATACTTGTGCTCACTTATTGGTGTTCTGTTTTCCAGGTGGTGAATCCGAACAACAAGGACATCCGAGATATCCCGAGACTAGCACCACCTGCAATGAACTGTCGATTACTTTGGGATCCTTATTGAAAGAGTTATGAGCAAACTACCTGATCATGTTATCAGGATTATCACAGCTAAACTGAAACGAAGATGACCGGCCATTATCCATGGTGGCTGCAATCGTTTAAGAACTGATACGGTGGCATTGTCGTGAAGCAGAGTTTCGCGGTATTTACGATATGTTGAATAGCATTAGCAATAGCAATGGTGAGGTCCGTTGAACTATATGTTTCTTCCCAGAGCCAAGTAATCAGTCCTCGTGAACCAAGGAATCGGCTGCTCATATTTCAGTGTTGGTTCACCTTATACTCAATTACTAGTGCCTTGTGTAATCTAAACCCTTCTTTATTTTCTTTTGTTATGCATTTTCGAACTGCTCTTTTGATGCTATTATGATATTAGTCCCTCTACTATGCTGAAATTGAAACTTCAGCCCACACACTTTAATTTGACATAATTTAATCATATATATGTTTTTGAATAATATGAGATAATTACAAGATAGCTTATGTTCATAATCTTTCTTATCCATTAATAATGCACACACATACTACAAACATAACTGTTCGAATCCATGACCTTAAAGGAGAATAATACTCCCTTTAATCATTGAGGTCACTCAATGGGTTCTTTCATCCTATATTTATGTTATTATAAGGTCTAAATTGAAGATATAGTTAGTTGTTAAAGTCGGTTTTTTTTTATCCTTTTTTTATTCTTACAAACGCCACCTTGTTTTCGTTAGGTTTAAATTAGGTCATTACATTGTTGGTGGCTTTTGGTACTAGGGATGACAATGAGTAAAATATTTGTAATTTTTGAATAATTTGTAATCAGATTTGTGAATCTGTTTTTTTTGTTTACAAAATATTCAAGTATTATTGAATTAAGTAGTATTGTGATATGGTCTATCAAATATCTAAATTTAATATCAATAAAAATAAATATATTTAATTTTAATATCAATTTAACCTTAAAATCATTAGTTCTAAATTATAGGGTGAATTGGCGGATCTAGTGATTTGACATAAGCTGTTGTTCAAGGAGTCAAGTTTTGCGGTCATTTTCATATTATTTATATATTTTTTAAGAATTGAATACATAAAATTTTAAAATTAAATAATCGTAGCGCAAATCAACCTATTTAGAGGTTTTTGGTTTGAGAACCAACTATAGCAGAATATTAGAACTTTTATTGTTAAAAAGTTGAAAAGAGACCCTAGAATAAAGAAATTATTCTAGATTAATAAAAAAAATAAGGGTAAAATATATCATATAATATTAAACTTTAGGCGTTGTATCGTTTATACCGTTAAACTTTTAATTTTGTCAATTATAGTATTGAACTTTGATTTTTTTTCAATTATATTACTAAGTCGTTAAATCGTTAACAGTTGGATCAAAACATCACTGTTTTATTGAGGTATCTACACCGACAATCGTCAGCCATGTCATCGTGCCATTAACAATTTAACAGTTTAGTTGTATAATTGAAAAGAAAATCAAAGTCCAATACTATAATTGACAATTTAAAAGTTTAGTTATATAAACAATACAACACCTAAAGTTTGGTGATATCTTATGTAGTTTACCTTAAAAATAATTAGATAATCATATGAATAATTTAAAATTTATTTTTATTTTAAAGTACAAATAATTTAGTTTTGAAAATATTGAAAAATAATAATAAAAACTTATTTTTTTTAATTTTTGGATAAAGTTTCCTTAGTTATCAAGATAATGAAAGCAAAATAAGAAATAAATATTAGAAGTGGTCATATATTCTTGGGGACCAAGCCAAGGCTTACATTATAAATTAAGCTCTTCCAAACAAGAACATTGACATCTAAAACCCATCTCTCTTCTTCTACTATACTTTAAAGATTATCGAGATACATTTTCCGATCACAATGGCGCCACCGTCTCTTCTTGGTCCACCGGAGCTCCGCAACCATCCTCCTCCTAAATCTCAACCTCAAACCATCTCCAACACCGCCACCGGCCCAAGCGACCCTTTCATGGATGCCTTGGCAGCCAACTTCAATAAAGCCATGAACTCACCTCCCATGGGGTTCACCGAAAACATGTCGGCCACATATCTAAGCACAGGTAACCCTTGCCTTGACTTTTTCTTTCACGTGGTCCCTGATTCCCCACCCACATCCATTAGAGAGATGCTGGAGCGTGCTTGGCCTCACGACCCTTTGACCACCCTCAAGCTTATTTGTAACCTCCGTGGTGTCCGTGGCACCGGGAAATCCGACAAGGAAAGCTTCTACACGGCGGCGTTTTGGCTACACGATCACCACCCCAAAACCCTCGCCTGCAACTTGGATTCCCTCGTTAATTTCGGGTATTTCAAGGATCTACCCGAGATTCTTTATCGTATGCTTGAAGGTCCCTCCGTTAGGAAGAATCAAAAGGAGGAGTGGACCATGAGAAAAAGGGGTCTAAAATGTAAAAGGCGAAGAGGTTGGTGTTCGGGGCCACAAGCCAGGAAGGAGGGAAGGCGATGCAGTTCTAATGAACCTAAAGAAGTTAGAATGTCAAATGATATGGAAAGGGCTAAGATCGAGAAGGAAAAAGCGAGTGCTTCGAGGAAAGAGAAGAAGATTGAAATGGCGAAGAAGCTTCTCCACAGACACTCACATGATCCCGAATTCAGGTTTCTCTACGAGCGCGTCTCGGATGTTTTCACCGCCTGTCTTAGAGCCGATATAGAGTTCATGAAATCTAATGAACCGAGGAAGATTGGTCTTGCCGCAAAATGGTGCCCATCCATTGATTCTTCCTTCGACAGGTCGACCCTGCTTTGTGAGAGTATTGCAAAGAAGGTGTTCCCTCGTGAGAATTACCCAGAATATGAAGGCGTCGAGGAAGAACATTACGCTTACAGAGTTCGTGATCGGCTGAGGAAAGAAGTATTGGTGCCGCTTCGTAAGGTTTTGGAATTGCCCGAGGTGTATATTGGTGCAAATAAATGGGGTTCGATTCCTTACAACAGAGTAGCCTCTGTGGCCATGAAGCTTTACAAGGAGAAATTCTTGAAGCATGACAAGGAGCGGTTCACCAAGTATTTGGAGGACGTGAAAGCCGGGAAATCCACCATTGCGGCCGGTGCGTTGCTTCCTCATGAAATAATCGCATCTTTGGACGATGAAGGCGGTGAAGAGGTTGCAGAACTTCAATGGAAAAGGATGGTCAGTGATTTGCTACAAAAGGGAAAGCTCAGAAATTGCTTGGCTGTTTGTGACGTTTCCGGTAGCATGCACGGGATACCAATGGAGGTTTCGGTTGCGTTGGGAGTATTGGTCTCGGATGTAAGCGAGGAGCCATGGAAAGGGAAGCTTATCACCTTCAGCGAAACCCCTGAACTTCAATCAGTGGAAGGTGAAACTTTGAAGGAAAAAACTGATTTTGTGAGGAACATGCGTTGGGGCATGAACACTGATTTCCAGAAGGTGTTTGATCTCATGTTGAAAGTGGCTGTGGAGGGCAAATTGAAGCCAGAACAAATGATCAAAAGGTTGTTTGTGTTTAGTGACATGGAGTTTGATCAAGCTTCGACATCTCCATGGGAGACTGACTATCAGGTCATAGTGAACAAGTTCACTGAGAAAGGGTATGGGGAGGCGATTCCACAAATAGTGTTTTGGAACCTAAGGCATTCGAGGGCTACACCAGTGCCTGCAACTCAAGAAGGGGTGGCTTTGGTTAGTGGATTTTCAAAGAATTTGATAAAGATGTTCTTGGATCAAGATGGTGATATAAACCCTGAAGATGTCATGGAAGATGCTATTTCCGGTGAAGAGTACCAGAAATTGGTTGTTCTTGATTGATAATGCAAATTTGAAAAAGCAATATTTTCATTTTCAATGTTGTTTTGTTTGGTACAATGTCTATTTCTTTTTTCTTTTTTAAATGCTTATAGAGGACTCATTTACATATTTGATTTTTGGTTTGTTTTGTTTAAGATTACTTGTGTTCATAATCTTCTATCTAAAAGAACAGCAGGAATTCAGCGGGTTTCTTCTTTGGATTGGTGGGGCTGGAAATCATCAGGAATCATCTTGGGTGTCCAGTTTGTGGCCTTGTTTTCTCTTAGAGCAACAAAATGAAGAGCCTCACTTCGGACTTGGTAAACATGACAACCCCACGGATATGATTCTGGTGCACACCATACTTTCTGCTCCTCGAATGTCGTCTCCTCCACCATTGTTTCTGCCACGCATTGTACTATGCCGACTTCTGGCTCCTCAAAACCTTGTATCGCAATGCATCCGAGACCGGTGAATCCCTTGGGAGCCCGTGGATACCAAATCGACACAGGAGTTGTGTAGTCATCCATGCAATTCCTCCATACCTGAAACTCTCCAAGTATCAAACTCATCATTCAAAGTGGTTCAAAACTGAATTCAGAATCATGCTCTACTAAAATGGTTTGTCCATGCTGGCATACTCGACCTAATGTCTAATTACAATTTTTCTGATGAAAAACATGATACCATTAAGTAGATCCTAAAAGAGAGCTATTATAGAAGATCAAATTCAACCTTCTTACCAGGTCATAACCCACAGGACGTGCAAATAGCTTGTCAATGCTTCTGTACACAGCAGCAACATTAGGAGGATGACTTCCAGCACGAGCTATATCGCCGATGGAGACATACCTGAAGGAAAGAAATTATTCTGCTTTAAGAAAAGTCCAGTCACAAGTGATTAGCACCAGAACATTCTGAATGGCGAAGACTACACATTTTCATGTAAATACAGAGCCACAGTAATCATATTCAGAAATAAGGGGGAAAAAATACAAATTGTCGAAACGATTTTTTTTTCTTAAAAGTGAAATTTTAAAAACCACAGTAATTTTTAATTTATCTTTTTCAATTGATTTTTAATTTAAAAACAAATGCGATTTAAAAAACCTCTCGTTTCGAAAAATTTTAGATTTCCTTTATGATAAAAAAAAGGTTCGAAGAGTCGCCACCAATCCTTGATTAGAGTGTGATTGGGCACCCAAAAATGTTGTCATTTTAAATAAAAATTACTTTTAATTAAAACAACAAATTGAGAACCGCGTTACCAAAAAATGAGTTCGGGAGTCGGTTACGTATCGGGAAGGATTAGTACCCCCACAACGCCCTAAATCGGTACCTAGTCGATTAATTAATGTTTTTGCAATGAACTTTAGAAATTCGAACTTAATTTGACTTTTGATCCCATAAAACAAAGATGTGAATTTAAAAACATTCAAAAGCACTCAAATAAAGTAAATTAAAATTACCACGTTGTTTTAGAAAGATAAAGAATGTTCGATTATTTACAAATATCTAGACCAGATCTTAAAAGCTATAATAACCTTTTCTCGATAAATTTAAATAAACGAACATTTCCTTTTCTATCATTCCCAAATTTTAGGTGACGAACAATTTTTTTATGTTTCACTGTCGGGATACACTTTTAATTTAAAATAGTCAAAACGGCTCTCTAATCAGTTAAGACAAGCCACTCAAGACAATTTTAAATTAAAAGGGTATTACCCTTAGTCCGATTATTTTATTTATAAGTCGAGTTTACGAATGAGGATATCATGCATATTCATGCAACAAGGATGTCATGCCAAAATCAATTAAACAAAATTAAAAATATCATACAACGTGACAAAAAAATTATATACATGTATTTTTTAATCAAAATTATAAACTATGCATATTAACATATAATGTATAAGTGTGACTTCAATACAAAAATAAAAACCAAGCATATTCTGAAATCAGAATAAATCCTAAACATACATGGGGATTAAAAAAATATGCAAAAATCTTTAATTCAAATGTCTAAACAACAAAAATTAAAGAAATTACTAATCAGGACTAATATTAAATGAAGTGGAAATTAAACATATATCAATAATTAGAACAAAGATTAAATAAAAATGAGCTTAACTAATAAGGATATAAAAAAGTTTATCCAAAAGAATAACACAAAAAAAAACTGAAAAATAATGAATTTAGGACACATAAAGAGGTAAAATTCGAATATAGACTTTACAAATTACTGAAATACAAACACGCTAAAATAAGAAGACTAAAACCTAATTTTACCTTTGCATTTGGTGACCAAGAAATAATTAACCCAAAATTACTAAGATATATATTAAACTAAACCTAATATTAAACTAATCATAATCTACATCACGCAGGAACCCAACCTCACGCTTTACTCTTTACTTTCTCTGCCTCACACTTTACTCTTTATTTTCTCTCCTCCTTTCTTGTGTTTCTATTTCAAAAAAACTTAAATGAAGACTAACCCCTCATATAGTCATGAAAGCTTCCTAAAAGAAATCCGATTTAGACTCCAATGAATGATGAACGCCTTCTTGGAGCGATAAGGTAAGGTTCTTTATTTTTTTTTATTCACTTGGCTTTACAATAATGGGTATTCGGTTCTTGGTTGCCAATGGTTCAAAAGGATAAAAAAAAAAATTCTGTTTGCTCAATATTTGGTTCGAAAATCCCTAAAATATTGTTTTGTTTTTTTTTTTTCGAGTCTTTTCTGGTTCTTCAGTGGTTTAGGAAAGAAAACCAAATGGTTTCATTCGATCTCCCAAAATAGAATTGAGAAGGTCCAAACAACCCATAAAGCTCTAAAGTTTCAACAATTCTACTACCGATGATGAACTCTAGATGATTAAGGTAATATCTCTAAAACGTACACCCTTTCGCCTTTCACTTCATAATTCGTTTATAAACAACATATTAATAGAAAGAAAGAAATCAATACTGAAAATAAAAATAAAATATGAATCAAAAAGAAATGAGGAAAAAAAAACCTCTTGTATTGCTTCTACTGTTTTTGAATTGTAGACTTACACTATTGTTTCTTGTCGTATCCTTTTGTTACACTTGTTTGATCTTGTTGCTCTGTTGTGTAAAAACCCGTTGAGAACAAACTCTTTCGTGCTTTTCTTCCTTTTTTTTCAAAACTGGTTCCTCTTTCTTGATAGTTTCCAGTGGTTCCCTCTCTCTGTCCTCTTTTTTTTCCTGTAATCCCCTCTCTTTAGTGGTTAATTGAAAATTAAAAACCCCTACTCTCTATAAACCGTTCCCTCTCTTGATCTCTCTGATGGTTTCTAACTCCCATTTATAGTTTTTTTAACTACTAAAAGAAACCCCCCATCTCGTGCTTCCTTCTCTCTCTGTTGGTGGATAAGTGAATCCCGACTTTTCTGGTTAATTTCCCATACCGATTTGTTATTTCAATATTGCAGGTACATCGAGGCAGTTTTTCAAGCGTGCATCTTATGCGTGCATAGCTGGAACATCAGATCGCCATTTGTTGGTCCTACAATCATATAATATAAAAAAATGTTAAATTTAATAATAATAATAATAATAATATATTTAAAAAATTTCAAAACTGACACCATACTATATTTTATTATCTTTCTAAACTACTATATATACCATATTTTATTACCTATTTGTCATGCTACATTATTATATAATTATCAACAAATAATATAACATAACCAAAATAAAATTATAATATAATAGTAAAAATCCTCGGACGAAAACACGTGTCTACAGCTGCCCCTCTTTGTCCACTGTTGTACCACAACAGTAGGACAAAGAATAAAGACACAAGTTTTCGTCCAAAGGCGATCCATCATTTCACATGAAATCCGCGCCACTGCAACTTCATAATAGGTTGGACTTGAAAAATATTCAAAAACGGGTCTGCTCCCTATTCTTTCAAGAAGTATATGACTTGAACAATCTTCGGCAAACGGGTCCACTCCCTATTCTTTAAAGGAGTATAGAACTCGAACAATCCTCTGAAAACATGTTCGCTCCTTATTCGTTCAGAGAGTATAGAACTTGAACAATCTTCTAAAAATGGGTTCAATCCCTATTCGTTCAGGGAGTATAGACCTCGAACAATTTTCAACAAATGTGTGCGCTCCCTATTCCTTCAGAGAGTATAGGACTTGAACAATCTTCAACAAACGTGTCCGCTCTCTATTTCTTCAGAGAGTATAGGACTCAAACAATCTTCATAAAATGGGTCCGCTCTCTATTCCTTCAGAGAGTATAGAACTCGAACAATCTTCATAAAACGAGTCCGCTCTCTATTCCTTCAGAGAGTATAGAACTCGAACAATCTTCAACAAACGGGTCCGCTCCCTATTCTATCAGAGAGTATAGGACTCGAACAATCTTCAACAAACGTGTCTGCTCCCTATTTTATCAGAGAGTATAAGACTCGATCTTCATAAAATGAGTTTGCTTCACTACTCTTCCGTGGAGGCTTATATATGATTTGCTTCACTACTCTTCCGTGAAGGCTTAAGATTAGATTGTTTCGAAGGTTAAACCTGAAAATCAAACATTATCAATCATGAACATATGCTTGAAAATATTATATTAAAAAATTTAGAATTTGAGAAATTTTTTAAAAATCCATCTCCATCGTGAAAACTTGTCTGGAAGCCATTAGATATGTGAATCTGCTTTGGCTTAGTTTTCGTATAAACATCATTCTTGTCAAGATCTCAAAACCAGTTATCTTCATCTCGATGCTTCAATATCTTCAATCTTCAACTACCCCTGTGAAACCTGTAAATATTTAAGTCATCATGCAATTATGAATGACATGATCCTATTTATGCCTAAAATGTATGCAATTATGCAATTTATTGCGTTTTCTTCTTCGAATGAACTCCATTTCCTTTTGATCTCGATGAAACTCAGTTTCATCTTAGGCACAGAACATTTGACCAGTTCACCCCAGCTAACAATCTCAATTCCATATCTCTCGGCTTAACAGGACATTGACTCATTTCTTTTTTGAAACCCGCCAGTACCCATGACCAACTTCTCGATCAATGACAATCTCTTTGTCTTCCTATCATGGCTGGGATTTTCTATGAATTTCAAGATTTTAGTTTCCCGTAACCACACAAGCTTACATGTTTAAACCATTGTCAGCTTCAGAATACCTGCATTTTCCAAAACCTTTTGCACAATAATACAAAATGATCTCATATATTTCAAGTTAAGCTATATGTTTTATCTTTTCAAAATATGATGCTTTCAAAAGGGAAACGAACAAGAAAGACATCTCTTTGTTTATATAAATGCAGAGAATTTTTAGGTAACTACATGGCAAACTTTTAACTGGAAAAAGTAAAAGAACAAAAGAGTAAGCATCTTCAAATATCAATAATGCAAATGATTTTGAACTAGCACGCCGTTAGAATGTCTCAAGAGTAGCTTATGTCGAAAGAATCTCCAACATTGTGATGATGCTTAAGAGTGTGAAACTATTTCTAAACTCTCAAATCTCCCATCATTGAATGCCCTAAACCAGTATTGAATCTCATGTGCATTCAATTTCTCTCCGGGTTGTTTTCATCGAGACTCATTAATCTTTAGTCTCAACCCTGATCGCCAACTATCATTGTTACTATCAATATCAAGAGCTCTTTCCACTTCCAAAATCAATTCAGAACCTCCACCATGCACGAATTTTGAATTTAAACAAAACTCAAGTCGTCTTTTACGGCTTTTCAACTTGAGGCCTCCTTTAGTTTCAAGACGCCCTTTGCGGATTTTCATCTTGAACCCCCTTTTTATTTCTTTTTCTTTTTTCATCATTTTTC